CACACACACACACACACACACACACACACACACACACACACACACACCCCAACTTGTCCACAGAGGTAAAAAGGCCATTTGCTAAGATGTAAGTTTACTGAATTAAGTCTGTATTTAGTACTGCCTCAGTTTCATATTAAAGGGCTTACATGCTCTTTTTGGAGACAATATTCAATACAGTCCTATGTAAGCTCATTTTGATAGGCTATATTTCAATCAAAAGGAAAAAATAGAAAACAAAATGAAAAAGAAAACAAAGCTAAATTATTCAAAATGGAAAAATTTTTGCAAAGCAATAAATACTGGTAAGTAAGGGTTACAAGTCAAAAATAATTGACCAAATTTCTGTTATCATTGTAAGTTAAAGAATAACTATGAAGAACTGGGGAAGTGGGGCCCCCCTATGTCTAGCTGTGAATCTTTTTCTAACTAACCATATAACAATAGACGAATTTCTCAGTATTATGTTATCTCCATTTCATCTGGGAGAAAGAGAATTTGAATAGACAATCTCTAAAGTCTTCTGAGACTCTTAATTTATATATACTTTTAAGTCATATACAAATTCAGATTGAAAAATATCAGAAGAGGTTAAAAGTGCATGATTGTGAAAAATTCACCTATTATTTTTTAATAATGGTATTTTTCTTTTAAAAATATGATTATGTTCATAGATTATAACCTATTTCTAATTTACAAATTTATTTTTGTGTCTAATCTCATTTGGAATATTATTAGAAATCCACAGGGTAGATGCCATTAAGCTGACTTTTAAGTGTAAACACTGATACACAGAAAAGTTAAGAGTAAAAAGTATAATGTATAAAGTATAATCCAAGTTTTCTGAGTCCTTCATACTATGCTTATTCTTTTAAGCCAAGCTACTTCTTCAAAGGTGCAAGAGACATAAATAACTTTTTAGAGAACCACTGAATACATCCCTAAAATACTGAGATTAATTTCAGTAAATCTGAGGGAGACAGTAGAAAACAGTAAAGAAACTGAGCTCTGAAAGACTCACCGTATCACGCATACAAATCTCTCCCATATGCAGGGGCAAGAGTGAGAACAGGCTGTTAAGATCGATTATGAATATATGCTGTCTTAGCTTGGTTCCCTGGAAACAGACTCTAAATTGGAGACTTGTGTGCTTGAGATTTACTGGGGATTGGTCTTGGGAATTATACATGCAAGGGAGTAAAAGAAGTAGGATTTAGCACAGGGCAAGGCTGAACCATGATGCAGTTGCAACATGGACCTCAAATGATTCTTCAGGGAGTTTTAGAACTGAGATCCCTACAGAGCTGTCCTCTAGTGAACAGTCCTTTATATGCCCTCATTGATCACCATTGGAGGCAGGCTTCCCCTGGGATGGAGACATGACATTGGACTGGGGGATTCCATTTTGCCAAGGGAGATTCACATAAGGACTCAGCTATGAGATGTCAGCACCCAACAGTCCCAGTGGCTAAGGTATTCAGTTCTCTCAGCTAGTAAATGAGGACTATAGTAAATAGGTTTTAAGGAAGGGATATAAGCAAACTGGCCTTCTAAAAGGCATATAAGAAGCACGCAAATCGGACTGGATTAATGGGACAACTCAAAGGTCTGAAATAGTCTTTGGCATTCAAGAGCAAGTTGACTTTCTCACCTGTCAACTTGACAGGTGTGGATAATCAGGTTTTTATGGAAATGGCATATGAGGTAAAAATTATCAAATTAAAATTTCCGTATACATTTTATCCCTATATCATATTTCTATTGTAGTACTGTTCAAAAAGTTATATGTTTTCTAAAAAATGGAGTACTAAGCAATCATTTTATTTCTAAGCCCACAAAATACATTAATTTTCCCCAAAGCTAACCTTTTTTTCTCTAGGGTTTTGAATAACAATAAAACACTTTGAATGCATTTGTCTAGACTATTTGAAGGTTTGTTTTTTGGTTTTATTTTTGCGGTACGCGGGCCCCTCACCGCCACGGCCTCTCCCACCACGGAGCACAGGCTCCTGATGCGCAGGCCCAGCGGCCATGGCCCACAGGCCCAGCCACTCCGCGGCATGTGCGATCTTCCCGGACCGGGGCACGAACCCGCGTCCCCTGCATCGGCAGGCGGACACTCAACCACTGCGCCACCAGGGAAGCCCTGAAGGTTTTTAAAATATTTTTCAAGATGTGTTACCTTTGTTTCTCTATGTGTTTAACTTCTATTCTCTCTGACAATCTTTCTTTTTTTTCCTCTCTGACAATCTTATATCTAGCTGGAAATCTAAACATTTCTTTCCACTCAAGAAATATATTAAACTGCAAAAACATGATATCCAGGGTCTGAACAAGACAAAACAAACCAACCTTGAGATATTCATGAACTTCAAATCATTCAAAATTCACAAATCTGTATACATTAGGCTGCAGGAATTTTAACAATACGTGTAATGTGACATGCTGTCTGCTTTACATCTAGACAAAATAAATAAAAACGGTAATGGTTTTGTGGAAATCTTAATACATGTGAACATTATAAGATACATTAGGTAGGAAGTCTGTTATGAACATTAAAACAGCATCTTATGACTTTTGCAATAAAGAACCTGACCCAGATATCTGGAGAGTACACATGATCACATCTCTTCTATTTTCTCAAGCATCCACAATTTAGACAGTTCCCGGTAAAGAGAAAATGTGATTGATTTTAATGCCATTTTCTTTCAGTCACTGCCATTTGGATACAGACTCTATGCATGAACCTCTTCCTCTACTTACCTTTTAAATATTGAAGTATCTCACAGCTAGGTTCTAAGTAGTCTTTTCTTACTCATACAC